TGCATTCTGGACAAGCTGAAGTCTCCGAATGCTCTTCAAGGGCTGCCCCATGTAGAGCACGTTGCAGTAGTAGTAGTTGCAGTAAGATTGCATGACAAATCAAATAGAGCATTTATAAAAGCAAATGCTTTCCAGTAACATGCATGAAAAAAAGGGTTCTTTATGAGCAAACTTTATTTTGGTGTTGTGGTTAAGCATCACCAGGCTTGAAACTCAGAGATTTGTGAGTTCTAGTCCTCCCTGAGGCACAAAGCCAGTTGGGTGACTTTGAGCCAATCACTTCTCTCAGCCCTAGGAAGGAGGCAATGGCAAATCATTTCAGTAAAACCTTATCAAGAAAACTGCAGGCAGTCTCTGAGAATCAGACATGATTGAATAGAAATAAAAATAAAATTAGCATGCTTGTCAGTATCTGGTTTCTGGCTCCTTTATTTCCTCATCTCTTCAAAGCTCTGTGATTTGCATGTTGTCTATTGAAAAAAAATGCTATTTTTCTAAAACAAGTTAGCAGTGAGACCAATTAAGCCATTCACTCTCTTCAGAGCAGATGGCACTTCACCTAATGACACAGAAGTTGGTATTAAAAATTATCAACATACTCCAAGACCTTTGCAGGAACATAAATATGTTTAGATTAAAAAAAGAACAGTGTGGCTGGCTACTTGGCCTAATTAAATGCTGCAATTAATCACCATATATTAAGAATGTATCTTCCATTTTCAACTGCACATTTCCAGCTAATATAACTTTAAATTGGAAACAAATCGACTGACATTCCTTGAAGTCTTACCTGAAAGAAGTTGACTACTTTAATAATAATGACATTTTGTGTCAAAATGTTGTCTAAAACTTTGTTACCCAAGATAATTATTATATCGAAGAGCCACAGTAGCACAGTGGTTAGAATGCAGTATTGCAGGCGACTTCTGCTGACTGCCGGCTGCCAGCAGTTTCACCGGCTCAAGGTTGACTCAGCCTTCCATCCTTCTGAGGTGGGTAAAACGAGGACCCAGATTGTTGGGGGAAATATGCTGACTCTGTAAGCCGCTTATAGAGGACTGTAAAGCACTGTGAAGCGGTATATAAGTCTAAGTGCTATTGCTATTACATTCTTGAGTGTGAAACTGAGGAATTCAGATAGGCATGTCAATTATAGTAGACTTTGTTTTTCAATTACAGCTAGAAGATGCCCAGACCAAAAGGCAGGAAAAACTTGTGGAGAAACACAAAGAGATCCGTCAGCAAATACTGGATGAAAAGCCCAAGGTAAGAGAACTTGAGTGCAAATAAGTTCATAATTAATAAGTATGAGACTGATATCAGGTAAATATACAAATATTCCATGGTATGGAAAAGCACAAGTATATATTTGAAATACCATCCATCAAGAATATTGTTAACCTGTGTGGATTGATAAATGTCTATCATTTTGTTTGGGAATATCTTTGACCAGCAGAGGGTGCAATACATTAATAGATGTGTAAAAAAAAATAGCACATTTACTCTTGTTTTTGTTGTAACATGCAAGAAAGCTCAGTGTTTTGGGGTCCCAGCAAATTAGCAAAATGCAAAGAATATAGTATGCTGTAAGATGCTCTTTCAAGATGCCGATATGATGAGGCGTGTTTTGAATTCTTGTCTATTCTTCTCAGTGGAGCAGATGACGTATGCATAGACTTTGAACATAATATCATATTTGTTTTGTGGGGTTTTCCCAGTCTCTTGTCAGGAGGTCTGCAATTAGTTTCCGATGGTCATATTGCTTATTCTGGCAGCTGATACAATCCTTGAAATTAATTCATTGTGGTTTTGGTTGTGCTTTTCGCCAGTTAACAAATAAAGGCAATCAGATAAATGTTTTAGACTGTTTTCTTGGTAAGTTCACTATACTTACCCTAACTGACTTGTGATCGCATAGGAAAATAGGTGACATTTTCTAAGTGCATGGAAATTATAAAATGATTAGCTGTATTTTATAGGCAGAAAATAATATAATATTCAAGTCAGAACATTTTTTCCCCTTCTTTTTTCTTATGGCTCAAGTTCTTATACAAGCCAATGATTTGAAAAGGGATCTCGAATGTACCAGTATATGTTCTTTTAAATGTGGAGAGGAAATATACCTCTTGTTGAAAACAATCACTATTCTGTGAGTTTGGGTGCCAGCCAAAATGCATCACTTCTGAAGAATTAATGGAGAATGGTCCTCAATTCATGAAGTCTGAAGAGGAAAACCCTTGTGATGTAGTTGAAGAATCTCCCTTCTCCCAAGTAGCCCAACAAGCATTGAAGGTGTTCAGAGTTCAAGAGGTGTATTGTTTAAGTATTTGTGGGAACAGGCGGAAGGGGATAAGGAATGGAATATCCTGAATAGGAGCATTGGATACTGCAATATTTGATATTGCTGGGACAATGAATGCATCTTTCCTTGATTATATAAATAATTCTCTGTCATCTTGAAACTCATAGGGCAGATTTCTCACTTTCCTGAACTGGAGCTAGTATATACCTGATTATTTCTTTCAAGCTCACTTATCTGGAAATATGCTTGCTTAAGGTATTTCATGATTAGATATAAACAAGGGTGATACAGGTATTTAATCAGATTTAGACAAGCTCTTTATCACTTGTCTGAATCCCATATTATGAATCTGTTTCAGCTTCACTGAATTCCTGCAGTTTAGTATCATGGCTTCATACAATAAAATTAAAATTAGAGGCACCAATAATTTAAAAATCATCTTTCTGTCATATATCTAAGGGTCTTTTTTCTGTTACTGTCACTAAGCTCCAGGTGTGTACAGAAATAAAACCAAGAAATCAAACACAAATGGCATACTTATTTTTCTTACAACAGTGGCAGAAAATTAATTCAGTTGTAGATTGAGAAATGTTGCTGCCCAACTACAAATTACCTACAAGATTTATCTGATGTAACATGCTGCCAAACCATCTGTGCAGTATTTGCACACTCTGCTTAAGCCATTAAAATCATCTCATTTTGGAATTCATATCCTCTTTCCAGATAATCCTGGTTGGCTAAATCTAACTGACTTTTTAGAATTGAAAGACAGTGAGTGCTATCGCACATGGAGGGAACTCCATGCGACCCTACCTGGATCGGGACGCCCTTCAGACAGTCACTCACGCCCTTGTGACCTCAAGACTGGATTATTGTAATGCGCTCTACATGGGGCTGCCCTTGAAGAGTGTTCGAAGACT